TATTTATTTGTTTATGTAATTATTTTTAAAAAGTCAAATTTTTGCCTCCAACTGAATCATGTTTTGAAATATTTTCAAATAAAATTGATGTTTTGTTGATTCTTTTACATAGAAAATTTCAACGATTCCAAAGACATACGAGAGCGAAAAATAATCGCTTTTAATTATATGTTTATTTGGTTATTTATATTTAAACTGGTTTATATTTACACCAAAATAAATAATAAAAAAAAACTAAAATAAATTTAAACCAAAATAAAAAAAACTAAAGTTTTTTCCATCGTCGCAATGGCTTAATATTCCATCCATATAATTAATTAATAAGTGCAAGATTTTTGATCGTTAACTCGTCTAATCTGTATTAGACTTGCTTTATGCAACTACCGCAAAGCAATACACCAACATATTGTGTTGGGGAGTTACAAACAGTTTGATGAAATAGTTCTCGTCTAAACAGAAGAAAGGATTTTGGATGATAAGCACACAAGATAATTGGCAAAAATAAAATAAAAATAGTTAACGGAAAAGAATTTGTTTTGGAGAATACAATCAGATCAATAAATGCAGATTATGAAGATGTAGACTGACAAAACTTTAAGCGTTTCATTGTAGAATGTACTGGTGTACATTTACTTGATGTATTTATAGCTTTGCATTATTTGATAATCAATTGGATTATTAGCAGCTTATCACGCCCTAAGAATAACACCGTATTTCTTTTTTCTGTGTAAACAGTTATTAGTATAAATTGTAACTAAATGCAGAAAAGGTTTGAATATTGACTAGTATCTAAATATTTGGAAGTGCCCACATGGATGATGGTTAAAATATGAACTTGCTGAACGAAAACAGTTAAATTTTAATTGTGTTTTTAATTTAGTGTCAAAGATATTTAATGTTTATTTCTATCTGCAATACGTTTTTTAGTGTTCGCGGCGACTTTATTATTTGTTGTGTTTTTCCATTAACTGGAACAGTTTTTCAATAGCCTTCTTAATGCTCTCTGAATTGGTTACGTAATCACTAAGCTGGCTTCCTTCAGAAAAGTTTCCATGTTTTATGTGAGAATATTTTCAAGTTTCGTTCTGTCCTCGTGTTCATTTTGTTGAATGTATTCTACATCTTTCATTCTTTTCTCGAGTACACCAGTTTTGGTCAGAGAAATACCGACAATCCCCATCCATCCGTTGATCATCTGATGTAGGTGTGTATAAGTTTCCACCATCCCGAATGGATTATTAAGTGCTCAATACTACTGACAGACTTATTCAAACAGAAAGATGATTCATAGGAGTAAACTAGGCGACTTAAAAAAGTACGTCCTGATATGTACCTACTCGTATAGTAATCTGCGCATTTACAAAGTAAATTTGGCATCTCTGAAAAATTTGATTTTTTTCACTTGTATAGACTTTATTAATATGCTGTATATTTTACGATCACACTGTCCGTTGATGGAACAGAATGTATGTAAAAACCGTAACAAAACTAAGTTCTGAATTGAATTGCTTAATTTAACTCAGACAGCAATTATTTCATTCAGTTTAGCTATCAGAGCAGCAGATGCACACAAATAAATGGTTCGATGCATTTAAATGCGTTAGGGTTAATACCCTTATTGTTATTTATGAAAATAGTCCTCTAGACTTTGGAGTGGTTTTCGCTAATTTATACTTGTACAGGTGTATAAAGTCTGCACAAAAACATTGGCCTTTATTCGCTTTGCGCATTGCGATTTCGTCTGCTAAATGTAGATTGAATACATCTATGATTGACATTTTCAATAGCAAAAACTTACAGTCGCAACTTTATACCAACCTACTGATTTTATTTGTTATTTTGAAACAAATTTTCTTAGTTGTCTTGATACTTTAAAAACATTTGTAGACACTCATAAAATACTAAGATAATGTTGAAAGCTGGTTCTGGTAAAAATTAAATTGATTACATATATCTTGTTTAAATTATTGTTCATTTACATATGTCGTATTTGCAACGTTATAATTTGTCATCACTACCGGAGTACTGGCACACCAAATGGTGAGAAAATAATTAAATTAAACAGTAGGAGTAACTGGATATGGAGACAGGCGGCGAAGAACAAATGAGCTGCTGTAAATTAATTAATTAATGCTTAAATGGAGCGATATATTAGCTAAAGTAAAAAGACTTGATCGCACAATTTAAGCTTCCAAAGCAATCACCTGCAATGGATTTAATTAAATGTTACTAAGTGCAATTTAATGACGTAAAACTAAGAGAAAGTCTCTAGGTAGGCAAAGACTATACTTACAAATTATATATTTCCTATTAGTATTAGCATGGATTTTTCTAGAAACTGGGCTTTGTTTTCAGACTCTTCACAAATAAGAATAAAATACGGTAAACTTTACATTAGAAAAGGTACCTTGGCTATATCAAATCGCCAGTGCTATTTCTAGAAAATCTGAAATGTTTTCCAGTATTATTTCACGCTTTGTAAGTATTATGCTAATTGGATGGATTTAATATCGCCACAAAATTTCTGTATTTGTATTTATAAGTTGATCTTGAATCACTTCGGCTGCCAGACCTGTTGGTCGAAAGAAATTCGTGCTAAATTGCACGGTCGATATTTAGTCATTATTATTTTTACGGTTCATGCTTTCAATGACATTCGTAGTTGTATGAAAGTGTGGATTAAAATCATTGATTTTACGCCACGTCGATGTGACGCCGCAACTTTTGTTATGGTAAAAAGTGCTTTTGTAAAATGTAATTTTGTAATAACAAAAGCACTTTTGAATCCAAAAAGTGACTGAACAGGAAGCTTGGCATTCGGTTAAAGTAGATTAGTCGATACAAGTTTTAAAAATTATCGGGCTTAAAAGCTTTAAAAATAATTACATTGACATCAGCAAGAAGTTTTGATGTTTTTTTGAAAAACAACCGCAAATTAAAAAAAAAATGCTTAAAATTGGATTCAGAGTGTTACTTTAGCCAGTTTTGATTTTTAGTGATTTTAGCTAGAATTATTTTTTAAAGAGTCTATCTAACATAACAGAGGTGCACAAAAAATGAATAATTGTCTTGGAGTATTTGCTTGTTATTTTCATTGCATTACTTTTTCATCAGACTTTTTAAGTTTAAACTTTAATAAGTTGGTATATTTTATGGAAGTAGAATTAAAATATTTAACAGAAGTTGCAAGAATATGCATTTTATATTTCTTCAAGGTAGCTGTGATTTTGAGCCAACAATTTGATTACAATTAAAACAGTTTTAGTCTGATTTAAATTTTTAATCAAATATGTCAAAAGGAAGTTTTCGTCTCCATTAAGGTTTCAATTACCTATCCATCACATAGTACACTAGAGACGCGAAAATTAGCATATTTTTACTGTATATTCATTACATATTTCATCTGATTCGTAAAATGACCATAAATAGTAACAAAAAAATGTTTTAAATAAACGTTTAAATAAGTTTTCGCATTAGTTTATTTTTGTAACCACACTTTGATGCGCTTGTGTATTCAACTACTTAAGTCACGTTTCTAATTTAAATAACAAATGAATCAAAATGAACCGAAAAAATTAACAAGCATTGAGCTTGTATAAACTTCTATTTTATTTAAATTAAAACTTGTACGTTTTCCGAATGATTCTGGAAATTTCAAGCCCATGGTAACGAACACTCTTAAGCGACTTTTCAACTCCAGTTTTACCCTATAAAACTGTGATAATCGTTTTTTGCATAGTTGGTACTCACCAGGCAGTGAACATATCAGCGCCAAAAAAACAGAGACGTAAATATCCATATTAGAATCACAACTTTGCAAATAGTTCACTAATAATCTTCAACTTAACTCACGGATTATCCGTATTGTCCCAAAATCGTTTGTTCATTTTACTGTGACCAAAAAGAAATCATATTTTATTTTGTAAATGCTATTTGAACTAAATACAGTAATTTTCAATTGCCGCGCTCAACTTTTATTAATAAGTGCCATCCGGTGTTACTTTGGAGCCATTCTTTCATTTAAATCATCGCGCGGATACTGAAGTCGGATTGTAGATGTATGTGGTTGGCGTCGCGCCGCCAACACAAAACCGACGCCACTCCCATGGGGGCCGCATAATCTTAAATTTGTGGTCACAAAGTGATGAGTTAAAATTACTTTAATGCTGCGGAATGAATGGCCACACCATTTGGCAAATGTTTTCATTTTTGGTAGGGATAAGTAGAAATTTAATTGCGATCAAAAGCTGTTTAAATTGAGAAATAAAATATTTGTTTTGGATTTTCAAAGGTTAGTCAAAAATCATAGATCTTTACATAAACGCGTATTACTTTCATGTGTTTCAAGAACAACTTTTTGAAACCGATTTTTTTCAAATATATTTCCTGATGCTCCCGATTGCTTCTGATGTGGAATTTTCTAGTTTACAATTCAAATTATAACATTGTTACTTGCACACGTTGTTGGGACATCAGCGTACTTTTGCAGAAAATTTTATTATTTCATTTTTATTATTGGGATATTAGTACAAGAGTGGAGTTTTCAGTAGATATATATTAAATTAGACAACAAATAAAAAGCCTTCGTCTTGACCAATCTAGGCTTTGGGCAGCTGGTAATTCAAAACAGTGTTTTTACTTCGACTTTTTCCTCAGTGGATTATACTGGGATCTTACTGTCGAATCTTTGGTCTTACTGTAGCATTTGGGTTAATGGACAAGTCTATTGACCAATTGCGTTTAACGTTAACAGCACGTTTTCTTTGTATGTTTCTTCGAAGATCATCCCTTGACTAACAACTTTTCTTAGAGGTGTTTCTTGCGAAAATACGGTTTTTATTCATTTTTCGCTTAACAAAATTTGGAATATTCTTTTAAGAAAGCAGGCCACGCCATTTTACTTTCTAAATATTTCTCATCACGCCGAACTTGCGTAAACAAAAATCAATTCTTGAAGCATATGGAAAGAGTTTTTCAAATTTTCAYTAAAGCAGATAATAGGAAAATAATAGGARAAGCCTTAATAGGAAAAACGAAGCACGAAAAAGTTGTTGACTGATTCACAGTCATACATATAAAATTTTCCATTTTCCAAAATGTAGTTATTATTTATTAATAATATAGYGAAACATTTTAAAGTGTCACCCAAAAACACCTGTGTCTTTTTATATAAAAGTMGTTAACCAAACCAACCAGAACTAACAGAAATGAAAGTTGAACTTGAACACCCACAAAATAGGTCTAAGAAACAATAAAGTCGATACAATCAAAATATATGTAGATTAGGCAATTGATTGACCATTTTTTGTAACTGATTTTCCCAAGAAACACTACGAAAAATTGTTAAAACAGTAAAGAACGATCTACAAAGTAAAATCACTTTTAAATTCGAACGCGATACGAATATTAACTAGGTAATTATCGAAATTGGAACTGCAATGCACATTGCAATTTGTTTTTTTTTAATCAATATGCAATTGTATTTATGAAAGGTGAGGATACGGTTTAAATTCGAACGTCTCTGACAATCAAGAGCACACTTAAAATATTGTTGCAGTCTTTTTATCAAACTGTGAGATTTATTATGACTTTGAAACAATACAAAACTAACGAATGCAAACATTTTTAAAACGAATATGAACTGTAAGAAACAGCAAAACATTTTATTCTGACTTCGATTTCTTTTCCAAAAAGTCAAAGCTTTTTAAAAAAAAAATGTTTCGCTGTTGTTTCGTTTCATTTCAAAAACTGTAACTTCATCCTATGAATTACTATCTTTCTAGCGTTGCTTCTGAATAATTATTTAGTTCAGATTTGTAATTGACTGGGTAAATAATATAGTTTTTCTGTACCAAATTGATTTTTTGTGTTTCCTGTTGTGATTTTGCCTTGATCATGTTCTCGGCAACCTCATAAGAAATTTACGGGATTATTGACCTGTAGCTAAATTGTATAGCGTGAGACCGAACATGATGGTAAAAATTTATAGCTTGGCAAAGGGCGCGATGGCGTTARGGGGGATAACTGCCCTTTACTTACGATAATTAACGTTTAGRTACATACATAATATGAAACTATCACATRAAGTTATATTTTAGTTATTTAGGCCCTACTGGTTTGTTTTCCGAATGTTTCATTGATAATTTGTATTTTAACTACAGAATTGAAATATCAACCATGTGCGTTGATGGAAAGATGTAATTCTATTTTGATTAATTGTTAACACATTTAAAGTTTTGTTAAAAAACATTTCACATGTGTCATAAGATTTGTGTATTGTTCTTAGTTGCCTAAGCCTGTCACATTTCATTATAATATTCCAAGCGGTTTCCGATATATTAATAAAAAAGGTAAAATAAAATTTTAACATCCTGTATATCGGAAACTAATGATTTGTGGAACCTGGTCTATTAACAAAATATATTCAAAATTACTTGCACTATCACCCATGCCGAAAAAAATCCGCTTAGTTCCACATGATATCTAAAATCGACCCCAAGTTAACAATGAAATGATTCAATAATTTCTTCTATAATCCATGAAAATAACCCAAACTTGTCTTTCAAAAAATTAACACATTACCCACAAAGGCAAACTTGACTACCAAATTTGACATCTAATTGTGTACGTTGTATATTTTGTACCCTCTGTATAGTATAAAGTTTGAAAATATCGGAGATAAAACTGCTATAATTGGCCATAGACAAAAATCATAATTTTAAAGCAATTTAACATTCCTAAACCACTAGCAAACTGGAAAACTTGTAATACCGATGTACATGAATAACCAGAAAAACTGAAGTTTACATTATAAATATCTAGTACATTTTTATTACTAGAGTGAAGCTACGTAGAAGTATATTTTGATTCATTTAAACTTAGGCAATTCTGCAAATGCATATTGCTTGCAACTATTTGACTATAACTTTTCAAAATAATAACTACTAATCTCGATTTATTTATTGATTGAAGGTTTGCGTTCATTTAAAATAATTCAATCATATGAATAGCTAAACTAAACTTTTTCTTTAATTACCTGTTTTATTTAAACGAAAAACCTTATTTTTTCATTACTTCTTGCAAAAGATTAATAAACTATGCCAATTATATTCTCATGCTTCATTCATTCTCTGCTTAAATCGTTCAAATAAGTGAAGCTTCTTTGATGTGCAGCAGTTGTGAATCCAAATGAGTCAAGGTGTTATTAAGCTCAACAAGGCTTAATTAGTCGGTCAAATTACACCACTATAACACAATAACAAAATGGGAAATATTCATTCGGACCTTATTTATGGAACTTTTTAACAAGCTGAGAAGGCGGCAGTTATTTTGTGCTTTATTTAAGTAGGGAAATTATTGTCGGCTTCAAGTAAATAATTATAGTATTTGCTCTGTGTGGAATATTACTACGTTGAGATAAAAAAACTTAACACTTTTAGGGCAAATTGTGATTGAATTGGTCTTGTACGATAAGGCTGCTTTTTTCAAATAACATTTAAAATCCTACGAAAAACGGTAATTTCTATTTTTCGTATATAACTTTTTATAAAACTTATTTGTACATTGGATGAGACTACTTTAAGCCTTATATTTTCAGAGTTGTGAATAATTATCTAAGCCTACTTAAAATTTATTATTTATTTATTTTTAATTGAATATCATTCCCTGTGACGTTGGCTACAATTTTATTGATTAATTTGAAACTTGCGTTTTTAAAAACACTTTTATTTCAAAATTAATACAATTTTTATGATATGGATTTTAAATGTATGTGACCGAACCTAACCGTAGACTGACTATCTTTAAGCTAAATTCTCATTTCTGCTGTTTCTACTTTTATAGTAAAATCATGCTGATCATAGCAGAAACGATACTAAGTCTTATTTTAAATGTTTAATGGGCGTAAGTAGCCATATAATTCTACGGATAAATCTTCAATAACCAAATTGGTCTTTGTTGTAATGCGTAATTTCTACAGTTTGCTGACACAATTGACTACTAATAAAACAGTAAGAGCTTTAATATTTCCTGGCGCACTGATGTTCGAAATTACTACTCACTTAAAATATGATTCTACATTTATTAACTTGTATATAAAACACTCCAGATATTTTCTGAAAAATCCGCTATGATTAAAAGTTGTTGACAAACAGCTCGATTTAGAATGTTTAATTTAGAAATTTTATTTTTAGTACACCGAATAAACATAACTTTTTATGATATATTGGGAAGTCAGCCATAAATATGTAGGAAAAGATGCAATACGCTAATATATTGTATGTATACATATAGATATATTAAATCTAAAATTAAAATTTTGTTTGAATCCGAGGTAGTGGCTTGATAACATGTTAGGTAATGGATACACAAAAATAATCAGTAGAAACACTAACGAACTTCTCTTTATAAATTGCTATGAAGGGCCAAACACCAAAACTTAAATATTTATGTAGCATACGCATATACGCGTTTTCCATATTGTCAAGAATAATTCTGTTAATTATCAGGACAGGCTTCAATTCAATTACAATAATAAATGTAATTAAAAAAGTATTGTATTGGTATACCTATTTCGTAGTAATTTTAATAAAATAATAAAATCAATTTTCTTCTATTGCCTTCTTACAAAACGAGTTATGGTTTCGTCCAGTTCAATCGGTATGGTTTTGTGAACGTGGAGAAGTGCTAGTCCAGTTAAGCGCTCTTTTGCAATTGAAGCTCTAAAAAATTTCGGAGAAAAAAATTCAAAGAAAAATAGCTGAAAGTAAAAGAAATCAATATAAACAATATTTTATTCGCTTTGTGTCCAAAATGGACAAAATTAATACTCCAAATGTATGCCAAGGCTTAAAGCAGCAACAACGCTACACGTGTAAGTAAAAATATTTAAGTATCTGAACAAAGAATTCTAGTCTCTTCCTACATTTGATTGTCCTGACTAATCACCTGTTAGGCCTAATTAATTTTAGAATGTTTTAAAGTGTTGTAATTGTGATGTATTTTAATGTGTGATATGATGAGGCTGTTGACGAACTGTGATTGTTTTTTAAATTAATGATTTTTTTTAAACTATGTTATTTTAGAAAAACTAATGATGGTGGAAAAATACACTGAAATGTATTTTAATTGATAAATTAAGACAATAAATGACTGAAACCCAGGAATTAATTTTGATTTACTATTTACATTGCAAGTAATCACTCAATGGTGTTTTTCTTGGTAAATGTCATGTTTCGCCCGTTCTGGATTTCGATAATAAAGAGTTATACGATAATAATAGTTAGTGGCGTTTTTTTGCAGAAATGCCTTCTACGACCATTTTCCTATGCTTGAAAATCCACCAGTCTTCCCTTAAAATAGAAAATCCATTAAGAAAGTGTTAGAAGCTGTGGTGTTAGTAGAGGAATTTACATACTTAGTAAAGGGAGGTTTGGAATTTTTAACGAAATGCAGAAGGTCTCAAAACTAGATAATGGTTGAATTAAACGGTTCTCATGAGCGATAGCAAGTGTTTGCAAAGTTTGAATTATTTTCACTCAGCTTTTCAGCATTAGCCAGTCAGGTTTCCGCAGTGGATTGTTTTTAAACAAAACTTGATAAGTCAATCAGCTTAAAAGTCTTCAAAATAAATACATCAACACTAATGTTCTTCTGTTGTAAATAATTATTTTTGCTGTATTCAAATTTCAAAATAGCGCAGAGTGCCTAAATGTAGGTGGCATTACTTGCAGAGGCTGCAAGGGATCCTGGACTAGGTACCTACTTATTGAGATAATGGCCGGTTTTTGCCAAATTTTACACTCTAAATAAATTAGTGTTTCCAAACTATTCGTGCTAGGGAATTTCAGCGGCCAGGATTCGTCCGATTTGTTTCAGATTTTTTTCCATTCCTCGCCCTTCAGGCTGTAACTGGTCCATATCAAGATTTTAAGCAGACTAACAGCCACTATATCAATTTTTTGAGAAAAAGTTGGGGTTTTAGGGAATTTTCGACGATCTGGATCCGTCCAGCATTTAACCTTGTGTAGAAGTAGATAGCAATCAGGGTTGTAGTTTTTCTTTGATAGCATTGTTGAGTTTATGAAGCGAATTTTACATAACGGCTTTTTCGAAATTATATCGATCCTGTTTTCGTATGTATTAGAATTTTCTTCAGCTAAAACAGGAAACTTTTTAAATGCTTCAAAATTCTTCACTAATTCACTAATAACAGCGTTTTCTCGCCTTTGGAGTTTATCGGCGTTTCCTTTGTCGAAAATCTGAATATTTGATATACATTTTCCGTTCATAAAGCTTATGAACGTATTTGTCTCTTTTGTAGACAACACTGGAATTGTTTTCTCTTTGTATCTGTGTCATTCGTGTATCTTTATAGGTATCTGTAAAAGTGGGCATAGGAAGGTCATATTCTTTCAAATATGTTTTTTGCGACATTTTGTATTTCATGTACAATTCCACTTTATAAATGATTATTTACAATTTTTATGGGCTCTACCACAATAATAGTTTTCTGCAGTTTCAAATTTCGTATATTTAAAGAACTGCTTCCAGTTGGACTTGATCAAGTGCTGCGTATTGAGAGCAATATTTTCAAATATCGCTGGGATAATTTGTCAGTGTAAAACACGCTTGTGAAAAAGTGGCAATATTACTGCGACTTTTTAAAGATACTGTTTTGAGATAAAATGTTTATCATTGATCAATTATCTTGCAAATACACCTTTACAATACAAAATATTGAATAAAGCACGCTGAATATTTATTGTGAAACGTTTTTTTTGCTATAAATTCTTTCGATTCATACAATCACAATAAATTTTATGACTAGTCAATAAATGTATTCAATACTCTGAGTAGATGCTTGTTCATGTATCTGCTTCTGTCTTTGGCCCACAAAAAGTCCATGTGTGACCAACTAGACTTGGCAGGCGGTTTGCTAATAGAACAACATCCTAAAAAATACAAAATAATTAATTCAAAAGTACAATAAAAGCAACTAACTATTAATTAGTAAAAACACTTTGTTGAGCACTATTTTACTGGATTTTTTGCTGTTACCTCTATGGTTGCCATAATATCAGCCTCACCATAAAACAATGCAATTGGACACGCCATGTTATTAAAATTATATTCTGATGCTATAGAGGAATTATATCTTTCCTTGTTTTCTTTTGCACCCCAGTCGTACCTCGCAAATTTCCCTAAAATAGATTAAATCCGTTAAAGAGATTGAAAGCCAATGCAAATTAAATATATGTGAAATTTAACTATCCCGAGACTAAAGTGTAACAATTTTTTTCAAGGACCTTTGAAATTTTTGTTATTTATTAGCTTAATTCCACTAATTGCACATTAATTCATTTAAATACCATGGTTAATTAGTTCGACTGTAGACACATAATGTAATTTAACACATCAACTAAATGTCGAATCAATCAATCAATTAATTGCTGAGATCCTGACTAATTTGGCACTTGAAAGCGACAAAAATTATGGAGCTTGATAAATTAATATTTATTATTTGGAATTGACAAWTTGTATAGAATTGTCGTCCACTTGGTAAAAGAAAATACATAATCACTCTTGGTCGTTCCCTAYAAAATAGCCTGATAAATSTTTAATTTTTAAAATTARGTAGTAGTTAATTTTATCTACATTTATACACGTTTCTACAATACACTTTATAGGGATGGCCGATTYAACCGTTTTTTTTGGAACCGTCTCATAAAACCGAAACAGTTGTGCGCACTTCGCACCAGCTGCAGCCGTTTGCCAATTTGAAGGTTGTTTTTGGAACCGTCTCATAAACTTGAAAAAGTGGTTATATGTAAAAAGTGCATCAGTCTTTATCTATGGGTTCGGGTCAGCACAGAAGCGATGCGGTATCGTCGAGCGCTCTATCCAGTTGCAGCACTTTCACTAACGATTGTTTATTGTGTATCACTTTTCGATTATAAGAATTACAGTTCAGTTCTCCAGGAACCAGCGAAAATTTGTTTAGTTGCTGCGATGATATAAATCAGCGTTTTTAGTCTACGAGTATGTAGTTTTCTGACATTCTGTAATAAATCTTAAAACAAGGGATTTCTCTCAAGAAATTTAGCTCCGGAGGTAATGGGCATATAATGCTCATAACCAGCAAACTAAGWAGAATGTAAGCTTGCCTATGAGCTACGAGCAAACTRAGAGTCTGAGASATAAATTCCATCATAGTTGAAATGTAAAATAACAAACGTTTTAAGCAGAATGTGCACCTGCATTTAAGCAAGCTGGCCATTTTTAAATATAAATTMAATCAGAGATTAAATAAAAGTTATTTGAATAGTAATAAACGTTGTAAGGTCGACATATTTTTTTTAAATTATTTTTTGRTGGGACCAAACTTAAGTCGAGTAATACTTCGTTCAGATTTGCCAAACACGCATATCTGTTTGTTGTTATTGTGGATTATTTAATGTTATTGTGAAAAGAAATGCAAGAGATTATTTTCTAAAGCGGGTGCTATTATAAACGCGCGAAGAACTAGAATCAGAAAAAGCACCTGCAAAAAATTTATTCTTAAATGTTAATTCATTTTTAAATGAAAATGATATTTTTAAACATTTTCGCATATAGTTTATTTATTATTATAGTTATAGTTTTATTATTATCAGTTTTTTGTTCTTTAAGTAGTTACCTTGGACCTATTTTTTGTTTYTRATTTTAGACTATTTTATTTTAAGTTTACCAATGTTAAGAATTATGTTTTTAATAAAGGAAATTATTATATGTCATCACTATTTGTACTATCATCATCATTCTGCATTTTTAATGAAAAATTTAAAAAGTAACATGTTCCTGGTGGAACCCCATTTTGAAACCTATTCCCAAGGTGAAACTGGAACGTTGTAACCCGTTCAAGAAAAATAACCGTCTATCACACCTCTATGAACACTTGAAATGTAAAATAACAGACGTTTTAAGCAGAATGTGCACCTGCATTTAAGCAAGTTGGCCATTTTTAAATATAAACTCAGTGAGAGATGAAATTAAAGTTATTTGAATAGTAATAAACGTTATAAGGTCGACATATTTTTTTTAAATTATTTTTTGGTGGTATCAAATTAAGTCGAGTAATACTTCGTCCAAGTTTGCCAAACACGAATATCTGTTTGTTGTTACTGTGGTTTATTTAATGTTATTGTAAAACCAAAATGCGAGAGATTATTTTCTAATGCGGGTGTATCACAAGCGAGCTAAGAACTAGCATCAGCAAAAATAGTCTGCAATCTGCATTTTGTACCTATTACCACGGTGAAACTGGAACGTTGTTTCCTGTTACAGAAAAATAGCCGTTTATCACACCTCAAACACTTTAATGCGTCTCGTAGACACATGCTTGAAATAGTACTGCTACATTTTTGGCTCAGAACAAATCAGAGAAGAAACTGTTATTAACATAAAAGTCTGGTTTCTTTGTTATGAAAACTCAAAGTTCTTCTACAAAACTATGTTTTTTTTATTCGGAAAAATTAAACTATGAATTGTAATAATACTTGCTCTGGATTTGCTACCTAAGCTTCATATTTTGACAAAGTTACCGTGTAAATCCGCATTGTCTTTTGGAAATCACTTATGCATTTTTGTTGGTCGAATTATTAGGGATTTCTTCAAGGGTTTCGAATCATTTGCATAAACAAAGTGTATCAATTTATTTGCTTTTTTCTTACGAATTCATGCATTAACTGCGAATGTTTTAGTATGCGATAATGTTTTGTTCTAATACAATAGTTCTCAAACCATTGTAGTTAATCTGATACTTTCACAAATTTGTTTCAAAATGAATTTGCTGATAAAGATATGACCGTCTTGATGTAAATCCAAGTCATAGTCACATTACTGTTGTCGGTTGTTCTGTTGTAATCGGTCCATCGATAGAGGCCGTAAAAGCGCAATTTTTTGGAGACCCAGGCAAAATAGTAATTCTTTTGCGATCTGTTCACCGATTACCCAAACATCTCAACAAACATCTTYTGTCTTCAACAATGTCAGATAAGATTGTATTTTAGGAAAGTGRTTGAATAATCGATCAGTACCATTTTGATCATGTGSTTATGGGACATCCTGTATAATCAAAATTTCTAAAAACAGCTTAAAAAGCTCTTTCTGCATATTTCAAGCATTTACCTTAAAATTTKATTGTGATACTAAATACTTSKATATTGTTCATCATAGTAACYGAAAATTGAATAAAACTTTTKAGAAAGTCTCACTTAGGAGTTTGTACTARATTGCTTTATTATAATTATTGCTTATTCGCAAGGAATGTCGTTTTATACAAAATATTTCTTTTTCGCTACCATAAATCGACCAATGATAAGTCCTCAGACTGTACTCTTTAAAACTCTTCTGTRGYCATGCTAAAATTAACTCAGATATTAAATCAGCGTACCAGTGTTTTTGAAAATGTATAATACGAATTTTKTGATGTCAGTTCMAAWTCCAAAGCGTTTTTCCATCATATAAACTGACAAATTTCGTGTGCAAATTAGAGCGCTTCTTCCACATACATAATTTCTGTTCTAAGTTTTTACCTGTTACTACTAATTGAGCAAAATGCGAAGCCTGATAAATTGACGCTCCAGCAGGACCAGTACTTGCTATCATGGCAGTWGCAGACTGTAAATTATAACATATAAGCAAATATGAATAACCCGATTGATGACATAAATTATTAACATATTTCAAACATTATTGCTAGAAGTAAAGATCGAAAAGTCTAAAATGTAAAGGAACAGTTAAATAGTAAATTGAATACTTCTCACTGGTTCCAGTTGATCCGGTGTATAACCGGACATTGCCACTAACGCATTTGAACACAGAACTCTTGTAATTGATTGCTCTTCGCACAAGGTTGTGCTGATGTGCTGCATTATCTCGTTCGAAAGTAGGTACTTGGGTATAATCTCGTATATTCCTAAAGATTCAGCAAGTGACTAAAATGTAAAAAAATATGCAATATGTTGCCCGAAAATTGCAAAACTATGTAGAAGCCGTTCTAAATTAGGATAGCACGAGAACTAAATGGTTATTAGTGAAAAATGTTGCCTACTGTCTGAGCTGTGAAAAACTTGCTTTATGGTTGGATTCATGTTGTTTAAGGAAACTGAAAAACATTCAAAATTTATGAGTTTTTTAAGAACATATTAAGCAGAGTAGCTAAGGTTGCTCATGCTTAGTTGCATTCGAACTCGACGTTCTGAAAATAAGCAGCGTATTTACGAGCCATTAAAATAGATGTTCATATAATGAATATCACATTGTGTATAATATCTGGAAAGGCAAAGTAAATCTTAATTCCATATAACAAATGTTAATAACGGCTTGAATAAAAATGATAAATTTCGCATTCATAGTATCTGCATAACAAAAATAAAAAACGTAGATAAGTAAAGTTTAATATTTAAATGTCAAATCTAATAATATGTGCGTACTAGTTTTCGTTTATATTTTGTTCAACATGTTTTCAAAAATTCACAACTTGCTCTGTTTTGTTCTATCCCATTTTATTTATGATAGCATATTGATGGGCTTTCGCACTGGTCTGGCTGATCGTCTCTCTGTCAGGAAACTACAAAGTATGTCGTGAATTTTTTTCCAATTCTCTCTGATTCTAATCTTTAATCATGGTTTATATACAGGATGTCCCGTAAGCACATGATCAAAAGGGTACTGCGATATTCTTTGGATTAAAACAGGACGATCTGACCCAACTTTTATTATCAAAAATTGTTTGGCCCCTCTGCTGTTGATGGTCAAGTTCTTTAGAAAATTATCTTTATAATAAGTGTGCCAAATTATAAAACAATCTGATAACCAACAAAAAAGTTCCAAAAACTTGTTTTTTAAGTAAAGTTTTAACGCCCTGTCTATCCGTTATTATGGAGTTTTCACAAAAACGTTATAGGAACTTGTCACACTAATTTTGGCTGTAAATTTGCCTCGTTAAGTGTTTGGTCGCACCCTTTCCGGACACTCTGTAAACCCTTTCTGGACGCACTGTATAAGCGGGTAGCCGACTTAAATGTACGTAGCGAGATATATCCTATATCCCACTATAGAACTTTATAAAATAATGTACCTATATTCTATCTTATTTGTGCACGCTTGCAAATATAATGCATCTTTTTCTTTCACAAATATGGTTCTACAGGTGATTCTTTTTGAGAAAATTATACTCGTTTTCGATTATAGAGGATTTAAATACTAATTCCTATCATGTTCCGCAATACCGGGGGAGTTGAATTGTCTATATTTAAAGATCAGACTAATATCAATATTTATATTTAAAGGACAAAACAGAACTTTAAAAGTGGAAAATTGGTCAAACTCAACATGGGTACCACTTACTTGTAAGTATTTATATGCTGGCGCTATAACTCGAATAGTCGGCTCTCTAATGTGGGACAAAAGGACGGAGGGCGCTAAGCCAACCATAATATTAATTTTATTATTATATTCAGGTTTCTCAGCCACCATGACAAAGAATGTAGTTGTCCCTTGCGAGTGACCGATGAAATGCAATTTTTCTTTTCCAGTAATGTTAAGTATGTAATCAATGGTAGCTGGCAAGTCGTAGTATCCTATTTCATGAAATCTAAAACATAATTGTCTATTAAACCATTTGAGATTTCCACATTTGAATTTGTTTTAATTGAAATATTTTCTTTTAGCGGAATTCGTGTGTTATTTAAAATTTTTAGATGCTCACAAATTTTATTTTGTGAAAAATGTGCTTAATACTTCTAATGCTTATATTGCAATTGGCATAATTGAAGGGATTTGAGCAAAAAACATATAGTTATTGTAATATATTCAGTCGCAAGTTGAAAAACATGCTTTCAATAATTTTTGGTATTTTTAAATTGTCCATAAATTTTCCCCGAAAATTGGAATTTAATTCTAGAAATTATGGACATTTATTGACGAACTAGCGAAATGAGGAAACACTTTGTATTACAGAAAAAAAAATGGTGACTGGACTTGCACTGTACTACTTCTACTTTTGTCAGTAAAACTTTCAATTTGTTTCGGACATGTTACGTTACGTTACCAACAATAAAGCAACAATATTTAAAACATTATCTTGATATTTATATAAAATAAAAAAAATACATTTTAATTATGAGTCATGATTGGAAGACTTCTCAGTGTTATTTTCATTTGCTTCTTCAACAATGAGTGTGCGATCTGTACGAGAACTAGGCTCCGGTTCTATTCCTGGAAAAAGAATCTTTTCTCATCAATACTTTTTTGAAGCTGTTCAAATAGTATATACATATTCTGTAGAGAGCCGTAGAGCTGGAAATACTCCAATTGCTAAATTCCGGAGAATGCGGAATTCCGGGAACAGTGCGATCTTGCAGGTGATAACCAGTTTGACTTTGCACGATTCATGTGGCCAATACCCATGGATTCCGCTGTATCAGCAGCCAAGGAATACAGCCAATCATCATTTATCAAGAATCATCACGCCTTTCTCATACCGTTGAAATCATGTTCAATTCAGTCAGAGTACAACCACGGTAAAGTACACTTGTAACAATTATTTAGTAATAAAATTAATTTTTAAAAACGGTTTGTCATTCTTCAAGGAGTTAACTCACGTGATACTCAACAAAAACATCAGAAGTGAGTTGACATAAAATTCCCTAGGTTTTAGTACTCATCCATTCTAAAAAATCTCTCTTTTTCTCGGAAAATTTATTCTCAACTTCTCAATGTTTACTCTCGGCTTCTACGACTTCCCCTTTCTCTCTCGACACTACCAGTGAACGGTCATATTGCTGAGTTGACTATTTTATATCTTTTCACAAATTCCCTCCAACTAATTGGGCCCTGCAAGCCGATACATTTTGATCCTGCAACCCGGACCCTTTTGGTATTACGAGATCCTACATTCAGGTCCTGCGAGCGGACTCATTGTGGCTTTGCGAGACCCAACAGGAGCCTCTCAGTTCTTCAAAATTGATGGCTTCGTAGAAATCATCACAAATTGATTGTGTACAATTCGAAAATATGTCCACGCTTTCTTTGCTGCTTTAGTTGTCACTGAGGCCTTGCAAAGCGGCATGAAAGGGCTTTCCAACATGTGTGATGGTTGTTCAGGAWGGCAGGACACWTTTTGGGAATGCATTTAAGAGWAGTAAAATGTGGTTGAACTTACAAAAACGCCTCATTGCTTCWACYTTATTTGAAATACATAATCTTGCAAATTTATCAGCTTTCCTTCGACATCCGGTTCAAGATCTAGTTGATTCACGTTCTCAAGAGAAGAAAACAACCTGCATGCTACTGCAAACTATATATTTTAAAATATCAATTGCAATATTTTCCTTCAGTGGCTGTGAATTGTGTTCAGTGGTACACAAGAAAACTTTGGAATTGTTGTTTTTAATCTTCCCTATAAGTGCAAAATCTTGATCGCATCCAGTTATCGTCGTTAATGTTTTACTGTACACATTAGTAGCT